TTAGGTATCTGGGCTTGCACTTGGCATTGGCAAAGCATATATGGAAGAGGAAGCACCTAAATGCCAAACTAAGGAACATGATGTGGCTTGTCGGAGGCCAGTCACAGCTGAACACCAGTAGCAAAATGATGTTCTACAAAACTATCCTTAAACCTATCTGGACCTACGGGATACAGCTGTGGGGAACAGCTGCCAACTCCAATCTCGACATAATCGAGCGCTTCCAGACAAAAGCCATACGTTTGATTTGCCAAATCCCGTGGTATATCAGCAACAGGCTCATCTATCAGGACTTGCCATTGCCCACAGTCAGAGAGGAAATAAAGAGCTACACACTCCGCTACAAGGATAACTTTCAAATCATCCAAACACATCAGTCCAATAACTCATGACCATTGAAGGCTTCCTATTCATCAGACTGCAAAGAGCTAGTGTCAGGCAGGAGTCTCCTTAGTAGATTCCAGGACAGTTGAGAAACCATGACCACTGAGGGCAACTGAGTCACTGGACTCCTGCTGATTTACTACAAACAAAAAATGTCATTACAACAGGAGATAACTACACCATAACACTAGCACTATCGGAAACCATGTACCTGGCACTTTAACCTTTTTCGCGAATATTGGTTGGCACTTGAAGGGATATCTGCGATTGCGCGCACTTGTCCATTCATCTAACCTTACCGCTAACTTCTTGCCTGCAGTTTTAATAGTTTTAAGTTTTATTAAGTAGTTTGCGGTCAGATATTTTTACAAGTTTTTAATAGGAAAGACGTATTCGTATTGTTCGAAAAGACCGGATAATTATATAGATGCTATTCGAATAATAAATGTGGCGAATATCCGAATAATACGGATATCCGGATATCCGAATTGCATGCCCTAGGGGGGGGGTCAAGTCATACCCAGTTTCTGGCATTTCTGGCATGGGGGGGGGGTATACATTTTTATATTTTACTTGGAAGAAGATATGACTCTAACAACACTTATGTACACTTTATTTGAATAAATCGCCAAATATACCACCGCGGAGACCCCAATCGCGTCTCTGCGTGCCATTGAATCGTATGAGCGTATGGATTTTTTGCGTTATTTTTCACAATTTCCATTTTTAAAAATTACCTATCGATAGCTTACTTTATTCTGATGAATAAATGTCATTACAAGTTTTTCTCTAAAACTGATAATTTGGCTAGAAAAAAATATTTTCTATCCACGCAGTACGGCGGCAGCGTTCGGATCGGATATAATGACGTCATCGTCCCCGCGCCGGGCGGTCAGTGAACTTTTTTAGTAATTTGGCCATAACTTCGTCAATTTTTGTCGTAGAACAAAAATTTTTGCACTGTGTATTAAGGATTTCTTAGCCCTATAAATCTGCATTCACAGCTAAAAATCGAAATGATCCTCATTGCTTCGAGAAATGGATGGTACGGCCGTGCCGCTTTTTTGCTCGACTTGGTGGGGGCACTGCCGTGCCCCCAGATTGCGTAATTGTTTGTTGTTCTCAATAAAATAAAATAAAAAATCTGTACTTATAATAACTCCTTCCTTTGGTTTATTTTTGAATAGCACCGTATTAGGTTTTCACTTTTATTTTGGCTAATTGTTGATTTCTGCATTATTTTATGATGTCATAATCTTGTTGATTATCCTTATTTAGTAGATTCGCAAAGTCTTTGAATTCGGACAGCAAACAACTTATAAATAGCAGATTGATTCACACCTGGAGAATGTCGTCATCGCCGATGAGCAAATTAAACACACAGACACACTTATGTATTCTACGGAGTTGAAATAAGGAATTTAGAAGAGAACTAGTCTAATCGGATGCAACTTTTTTAACCATTTATGTAGGTTTTTGGAGAAAGATTAAAAAAAAATCTATTTCAATCCGCATACTTACAAATCTTTAATCATCAAACGATATCTATGCAAGCAGATACGTAAGTAGGATCAGTGCATCTAGAAGTATCAATAACATGGGCTGGAAAAACGAGGTGTATTAGATTTTATTGTAAGTTTAGAAGAAGCTAGAATATTATTGCGTGAACAAGTGAAGTTTCAGGGAGCAGATTGTACTGATTTTAATTAAGTAACTCTCAGCGAGGTCTTTTCACAGTTGAAATGTGTAAAACCTGTTCAATCCAGCCGTCAGACGAAAGAGTGTTATTGCCAATAAGAAAACTTAGGCTGAGTTGCACCATTTTACTTTAGCTTTAACAAACGTCAAAAATCTGTCAACTCCATACAAAAATCACCGGTTATCTTTATAGTTACGGTTAAAGATTGATGGTGCAACTCAGTCTTATTTATTATCGATAAGAAAGCTAACTGACAAGGATATCTAAAACCTATTAGTAGATACCACTTCAAATCAGATTGAAGATTTTCGAAATAATCCAATTACATAATTATCAAAAAGTGATATAATTTATCAATAACGTTTTTAATGTAAAACTGGATTACAGTAATGAGTTAATTAATCCATCGAGTTTAATTTGGTGGGCGCTGCCACGCTATTATTATTATGGTGGGTGGTTTGCAATTAGGTAATTAAATTCATTTATTTAGTACTCCCCAACCCGTCTGGTTAACGTGGGGAGGCCAAATCCTCCCTTTGATTCTGGTAAATTCGAGAGTCAGAGGAGACTTTTATGCCCGTTTCCACCATCAATCCCTAATTTTTCAGTGATCCCTATGGTAACACTTAACAGGTAAGTATTTTGTTTTGATGATGACACTATTTTTCTTGCGTTTCTTACGCTGCTTCCCAACACTGGTCCATATTATTGCCCTAAAGCAGTGGTTAGGATAAAATGGGGCGTGTAAAAGCGCTTTTTAAAAGCTTTATTGCAAAAAATGAATTTTTTTTATGAGTATTTTGACTTCTAGTCGACGAGAAAAGCCACGGAAAGAAGTGAGTCACTGAAACTAGTAGCCGGAACTACTAATTAACTTATACCTCGTATGAATTACTAGCAATTCGTGATCAAATTACTATTTTTAGTTGTGGTAACTGAAATTTTGAATCAAAAGTGTACCTACAGCCTACTGTTGACTCTACATTACGTGGTATGTACCTATTATGCAAGCCCGCATGCCAGCACTGCGGTGCGTGCACCCGCGTATCAGTTTGCCTCCGATAACAACACTATCTATTGAATGGCCAGTTCGCTAATTAGGTCCATTTATTTAGGTAGCACACCGCAGCGATTAAAGTGTTTTCGTTACATTTTGATTTGTCCTCGACCTAACAGGTCAATATTTTTCCGTCTCGATATTAATAATGAGGCCCAATTGTGCCCAATAAATAGGTACCTATACTTATTTGTTCTATACACGCTTGTGGGGCCAAAAAACTACTGATTTAATTTTGATGAATCTTTGCAATGTATCAGAATAGTATACAGGCTATAATTTACCGAAATTAATGCAGAGATAAAAGCAGAAGCTACTCGTAATTCAAAAATCTGGACCCATCAAAGTCTCTACTAGGTATTTTTACTTGAAAGTAGGTACCAAATTTTTACCAAACATTTTGCTGTCGTTCGCGACTATTTTAGAGCCAAGGCAGAAACAGTTACTACCCGCCAATCATGACTAAGTACTGTATGGCTGGATGCCTGCTAAAAATAAAGTCGGTGCCTTTTCACTCCAAAATAGTAACCCACAAATTCAGTCTAAATTGAACGGCTGCTACAGTATAAAATAGCAGGCTCAGTACGCTCGATGGGACATCAAACTAAACACTGCGTCAACGTGAATGTATATTCGTAGAATCATTTATTGTCTCATAGATTTAATACGCGATTCGTAAACATTACAAACATCAATTAATACCTCAAAAATTTACTTAAAATTGTTAAGTATCTTAATATCGCCAACATAAAAATTCCCCTAAAGATCGCGTGAATGGAGGCAATAGCCAATTTGACAAATGGCTGTGCGTGGAGGGCCAAGTCATCTTCGTGTATGCTACCTTACTCCACCCAGAAATAGTCGGTTGTCAAAGATTTGAGTCGATTATAACACCAAAAATGTATTTAATACTAGCGGCCGCCCGCGACTTCGTACGCGTGGACCCCGTTTTACCCTTAGGGGTGAAGTTTCGAGTTTTTTAGGGTATACCCGGAAATTATTCAAACTTTTCTCGCTGTAAAAACCATCCTTGGACTTCAACAAACATTTTAAAAAAAGAATTGGTAAAATTGGTCCAGGCGTTGTTGAGTTATGCGCTTACCAACACATTTTGCGATTCATTTTTATATTATAGAAGATTATTTTCTTATAGAAGTTTCAGACAATTAAGCGTTTAATTGTAAGATAAGAAGGTCCACTTTTGTCGGTTTCCGACACAATTTAAGATAAGTGGAGTTTTAACATTATATTTTATAGTAACTTTTTTACTACTGGCTGGCTTGCACCATCTTACTTTAACTTTGACAAACATCAAAAATCTGTCCAACTCCATACAAAATGCACCGGTTATCGTCATAGTTACCGTTAAAGTTAGGTGGTGCAACTCGGCCTAAGCTTATCAAACCTATGAAAGAAAAATTTTGCAGTTTATCTGACGGATAAATATGTATATCAGGGAATTGATTTTAAGCACTTAGGCCGAGTTGCACCACCTAACTTTAACAGTTACTAACTATAGCGATAACCGGTGCTTTTTGTATGGAGTTTGACAGATTTTTGACATTTGTTACAGTTAAAATAAGATGGTGCAACCCACCCTTAATGGTGTATGGTTAAAGCTTACTGTCAAGTCCCATCTTTCTAGATAACACAATATATCCAGTATCCACGTAACGATAAGAGCTTACTGCCTTAACTTCCACTGTGAGGGTACTCAGCCATTTTCAGGGAAGAGCAGCATTTTTTGCTACCCCTGCATTCTGCAATCCTGTTAGTTGGCCACTCGGGCTGCGTCCAAGGGCCCTTATTGCAGCCTCCTGCTCCTAGAAAATGTTGTAATTTAAAGCCTAGATTACTTACTATTTGGTTGTGGTCGCCATTATTCGTGCTGTCGACATTTCATTGATTTATCTGAAACAAAATTGAGATTATTAATTTCTAATTTATGTAAGTACGTGTGATTTCACAATAAATAAACAGAATTAGAATTTAATTTACCAGAGGCTTTTGCACATTCTAGTTCGGTGGTAATGTAAGGTTTAAGTACCCTTTTTTATCCACAACGAGGAAGCTCTTGGCCTGTATCTCACTTGATGGTAAGTGATCAGGCCGAAGGCGGAAGCGAGCTTCACCCGGAATCCTCAACCACCGAGGAGGCTTTCTTACCTCTACTGCCGGAACACAACGATGCTGTTAACATTGTTGTTATGGCGACTGTCTTAGGTAAGATGGTAGTAGCTAGCCAGGCGGGCTTAGAACAAGCCCTACCACCAACCAAACAGAACAGAAAAATCTGCCCCCACTGGGAATCGAACCCGGGACCTCTGCGTCTGAAGCAGGTGGTCTTACTACTAGACCACAGAGGCGGTCAAACCTACTGGTTTTAGCGACATACAAACAACATAAGATATCAAGATAGATCTTACTATATTTTACATAAATTATAATACTTGTGTATAGCTATTTAATCTACAAAACTGCAAGACATGTGCCCTCCTCCAATACATTTAATGGATGTCATTTACAGAGCTCCGCAATCTGACAATGAAAATGGGAAGCATTTTCTTATTGACATGAAAGAAAAAATATATCCCTGAAAATTCCAATCGAAAGAAAACGCACTTTATCACAACCAAACAAGGTTCATTTTAAGTGAAATAAAATGCATATTTCACAAACAGTCGTCAATAAGGGAAGTAAAAAATATTACACCATAATCGACTTTTTATTGTGATGTTCATTAACTTAAATTATGTAATAAAGGCTGATAAATTGCAAAAATATTCTTTGAGAAGAATTGGTGATAACGAGTTTCCTTATACAGTCGGCTGCATATTAGAATCTCGTTTTTGTTGCAAATTCGCACCTATTACCATACCACAGGTGTTTAGCTACATTTGCCGTCGGTACAGTCACCAACATAAGAGAAATAGGCTTTGAAATACAATACATTCGTCTGAATAATGTTTTGGATTTATATCCTGTTTTTTCTTTTTCTTTCTTTCAAAGCATATTCCTTTGAATTAGGAATAATTATAAATAAACTAAAATATAATAATTAACTGTAATGGTCCAAGAAAGTATAAGGTAATAAGATTATAAAAGAAACTGATTAGCATATCCATTATGCTTTACTCGTACAATATGGCCATCAATTTTATGGTTCCGGTGTTTAATATTAAAATATAAAAAGTACTTAACCTAACTGCGGGCCGATTAAAAATTTACGTTAAAAGGTCAGAGTTGAATAACATTGCATTGTTTTCCTTTTAATTTCCAGGAAAATGTGTAACTTATTAAGGGCTGATTTTTCAATCGTCAGATATCTTTTATCTGAAGAATAAGTTTGGCACATTGACAGTTTCAGTATGGGAAATATGTCAAAATGACAAGGTTATTCTTCAGATAAAAGATATCTGAGGATTGAAAAATCAGCCCTAAATGAAATAGGAAAAAATAACTTCCACCGATAAATGGACGTAAGTAAAGCCTTTCCTCATTTCAGTCAAAAGTTGAAACGATGCTTCGTCGTCTCAGCCAAATGACGTCCACTGCTGGACAAAGGCCTCCCCCAAGGTTTTCCACAATGAACGGTCCTGCGCTGCCCGGATCCAACGAAACGATGCTTAGTTAGGGATAATGTCAACTCAAATGACTGTTAAAGATTCCTATTATAAGCGTAACAGGTAGAGACAAAAAAGTAGAAACTTTTGTAATTAACAAACAATTTTCTATTACAGAAGTCTCACATTCATGGGATAAATTAACGTGATTTCATTTCCATCCTTGCCAGCCGTCCCTACTCCCTGTATACTCGAGTTCTAAGCAAAATACGTAGCATGTAACAGTGCAAGTGCGCCGTTAAGTGGCCTCAAGAATTTCTGCTGAGGATCTCTTGTAGGGACTCCATAAGACTAGTGTCAGGCGACAGAGGAATAAATATCCATTATTACAGAAATAGATAAAATAAAAAATAAATACGTTCAGTCCCTTTCCTTTAGTAGAACGGCACGATATTTCTTTGCCAGGTATAGGTGTTGGCGACAAAACATTTTCCATTTCTGTAGCTAACATTCTGTACAGCTACAGAAATGGAAAATGCTTAGCTTTAAATACACAACTGTATTTCAGATCACTTATAAAAGCTACGCAACCGAATTATATCCAAAAAACAAGATGGCTAACACCGTTGCTAGGCTGCAGTCCATAGACCATGGCCTAGCATCGGTGTTACCAGATCTGTCGCCAACAATAGGTACCTACGGGACTTATCCCACCACTGTAACTCCTGTATAGGCTGACTACACAGCCAGGATCTACAGCATAGCCTTCAATAAAACCTAACCAGTGAAGGTCGAGTAGTCCCGGGGATAGCTTGAATCTACAGCGAATTTAACCAGAAATTTCGAAATCCGAGTATAATGACAACTTCTCTCCGTTGCAAACGAGAGACGGGAGAGTGATTTGGTAGGTAGGTAAAGATTGTTTGTTTAGGTTTACAATGTGCGTGTGTATAATGGAAAAACTTTAGTTATTTTTTTCTAAATAGCCTCAAACATCCTTGACATTAGGCACATGATAATGGAACCGCAAACGCTGCTCATCGAAGCTTGAAACTTGTAAAATAACTTGTTGATAACAAATAATGGCTATAATAACAAACAGTCACGCTGCTCGTGTCGTTTGGAGCAGATGATTGTTATGTGTTGGAAAAATAAAGTTAAATGGGTCCGATTAATAATATTACGTAACTCACACGACCTTCGAGTCGTTTTGGTCGAGTATATCTACGTTCCTGTACCTACATCTAATCTAGAGACAGCAGAGCAACCATATTCCTAAGCAATAACCTTTACTGAAGACTATTCCTATTTCGAACAGTGGCAGTGTGCTTACCAGTTTACGTTAGGTGTGCTCGCTAGCGAGTGCATAAAAAAATCAATGAAGATTTTAGTTCCTGAAAGTAGCTGCTAGAGGCGTTGTACAATGTCTTATACAGGGTGGAAACGTTAAGTGATCTCACTCGATTATTTCTAAACTATACAAGATATTGAAAAACTGGTTACTAATCCTGAAAGTGCTTCATGAGCTCTTTTAAACGGTACCAATAATAGGTTACAGAATAAACTGGGTCTATCTGAAAATTCAATGATTCCAGCTTCCATACTAAATGTATGCCAGACACACAATATCAGAAGTGTATTTTTTTTTATTTAATAATAAACTTTTAAAATAAACTCGTAAATTGTATTGTTATTTTAAATTATTCATGGAAAACATTGGTTTAGGCTTTTCTTGCTATAATATTGTCAAGAGATGAGTGTCATGACTGTGGTTGTACTAAATGTATGGAAGAAGGGAACATTGAATTTTTGGATAGATCCAGTTTATTCTGTAACCTATTTTTGATGCCATTGGATACACCTTGTGAAGCACTTTTAGAATCAGTAATCAGTTTTACCATATCATCTGTAGTTTTTAAAATAATGTGACTTTACCAAATGTATGGAAGCTGGAAACATTGAATTTTCGGATAGATCCAGTTTATTCTGTAACCTATTATTAATACCGTTTGATAGAGCTCATGAAGCACTTTCAGGATCAGTAACTAGTTTGTTGATATCTTGTATAGTTTAGAAATAATCGAGTGAGATCACTTATCGTTTCCACCCTGTATATTATGTCATTTTTACGCAGTCGCTCGCTGGCAAACTCACTCAACTCAGCGTCAAATAGTTCGTGACACTCAAAGTTGCAAAAAAGTTCGCGACACGTCTTTGTTACAATTGGAATAAGGTTGTATTGTCAACTTTTTGGCCACTTACACAGGTAAATAAAGTTACCTAATAGGTATGTAGATTCACAAAACCCAATTGATGAGGGTAAAGGATTACGAAATTATGGCGATGATGTTCTACGTATTCGTAATTCAATTCAAGTCGTATACCAACTGTCCCGTTTGCTGAATGATTTGTGGTGGCACCAATCCGACTGAAGTTTATGCGCTTTCACCGGCCTGAACGGATTCTAGCCGGAATTATCTGGATTAAACCAGTTTAACGAGCAAACCTTGTTATTCCCAGGTATGCTACGGTGAGCTTCAGGATAAATCAATTTTCTCGTAATTAATCTTTTTTAGGGTTCCATAAAAAATAAGAATACTTATTGGATCACTTCTCTTGGATATCAAGACTTTTTATTCAAAATCACGGGATGACATTAAAAGGCTTTGCTCTACGATGTCCTGAAGTTGTAAAAAAAAGTTTCAGTGCAGATGTAATCTGGACTCGTTGGGAATCAAAGTATGAACTTACATCACTGAATCCGATAATAATTTTGATAAAGTAATGTCCACGTGGACATAGTAATTGAAGAATAAAGGCAAGTAATGTAAGATATGACGAAGGTACCAGAAGAAAGAGTGGGAAAACTAAAAGAGTAATTAATGACAATTATGAGTATGAGTTTGATTACGGAATCCTTAGTTCGCGAATCCAACTCGCACTTGACCAGTTTTTTGTAGGTACTGTTGAGGACACCTACGCTCTCATTATGGGCGCAAATAAAAAACACGGTTTTAAAATATCCACAATTTACTTTGAATTCATTTCAAGTACCTACCTACCTAGTTTTTCTATAAATAGCGAACAATAAGTACCTAAGTACATAATATGATGATGTTGACGCCCGTTGTTTGATTGACTGTGTTGTGGGAAGCTAGAGTGCAATTAAAATACACTATACTATATTATATCTACTATACTTATGTAACATGTAACTATTAATTAATCCTTGATTGCAAAGTGAAATAATAGGTAATGTTAGATAATTGGGTAGTCGACATCACACATTAATGACGTACTTATAATTTTTGAACGATAAGAGCCCTACATAGGTATGGAAAGAAAGTT